AGCGCCACATTAACCAAGCATAACGGGCACATGCCCCATTCACCCTTGTTTTCAATGCTTTTTCTCGAGAAGTACTCCTCAAACTTACATAAAAACCAAGGCAGCGTTTGGTTTACTTTTCAAAACTCTACTCTGTTTTTAAATCACGATTTGGATACAACATGTTCACCAAGCATAATTTTAAAATACAACTCAAAATTACATTCGAAACTCATCTCTTCTTTTCTTCTTTATTTTATTATTATTATTATGAATCAATCACTTTCTCTCTCATCTCTCCTCTCACATTCTATACATCAATCAATCAATCAATCAAAAATAAATAAGAAAAAATTACAAATCATCCCAAAACTATTTTCAAAACTCATAACTAAACAAATTTTCTCTTTTCGAATGAGGATTCAAAAACTCAAAACTCAAAACACAACTCTACACTCAAATCATAATATTAAAACTAAACCAAACGGACCCCAATAGTTTAAATAAATAAGAAAAAAAGACCATACATATTTCAATAGCTTAATTGGGTTGGGTTGGGTAGGGCAAGTCGATAGCGCCTCGTTTGGAAACAGGTTATTTTAGTAACTTTCTAATTTTTTGACTGAAATATGAAGTAAAAAATTAGCATGTTTGGGATGACTTTTTGTCTTTTTACAAAAAAAAAAATGTGCAAAAAGTAGGAAAAAATAGAATATTTGACTTCTTTTTTTTTTTGTATAATTTGTTAGTTTTGAGGAGTTTTAATCCTTTAAAGTGTCTGTCGTATCTATGACAACTACATCAAATCTTGAGATCAAGTACTAACGTTTTCTTAAAGCAATATGTGATTTAAAAAAGAAAATTAAGAGATCAAACAAAAGGTCAAGGTACCACCTCCAACCCCTCCCATCATGCATGTTTTTTTACATTTAGACCAGATTGCAAACATAGATTATAATCTCATCTCAAATATAGACCCCTAATCTTTTAAAGTTAACGAAATGTGCTTCACATTAGATGTTGCGACTGGCATGATGGCAAGTGCTATCTGCCCCCAGTCCTGTGGCACAGGTTTGAGTCACAAATATCAGCATCTCCACAAAACAGTGGGGTAAGACTGCTTACCTGCTGTCTCTCCCAGACACCTGTCGTCAGCAGGAGCCTTGTGAAGCGAGTGCAAAGCAACCTTTAAGTACGCTTCACATTCACGCATTAATTATTGTATGTTAAATCATCCTGAAAATACCTTAAAGTTAGGGAATCAACTAAGCCTCTACAACATGGTGGGGTTGTAAATACATGTAATATGACTTTAACATAGCCCTTAGCAGCCAAACACCACATCAATTTCCTAGAGACAACTGAACCATCAGAGAAACTAAAAGGTATGATATCATAATGTAGTAAGAAAGCAATGTGATGCACACAGGACTGTGACTTACCAAGTAGGATAGCGATCTACCAGAACCTGCATTTTAGTGACCACCCAAATCAGGTTCTTTTTGCACATCTCCGGAGTTGAACCAAAGCCATCACCCAGAAGTCCTGCACTCTTCACGTGATTAAGAGCTGTTTCCTGCAAAAAAAACCTAAGCTTGTGAAGGACTAAACAAATTAGAAAAGGGGCAGTGAATGGTACATGGGAGTGCATTTATTCTTTTGACATTGTAGTCAAATGAAGTTTCAATCATACCTGCAAATGATTCATCAATGTCTCTATAGAGGCGGTCCGATCAGCCCCTATCTCATAGGATCTGATAGAGAAGTTTTGACGGAAAACAAAACCATCCTCAACAATTTTCCCAAAACCAAACGAATCGATGAGCATATCAGGGCGCCTTGGCTTCCAATCAAGCATCATCCACTGCTTCTCTGCTGCCAAGAATATCGTCGTGACAGCAGCAAGAAGCATGCTCCAATCAGGTAGTTGGTTGATAAAAGTCCTGAAACTGCCCAGAAATCAAGTTGCTCGAAATCAGGTTTTGAGCATACCAGGAGCAAGGGCTCGAGAAGAGGAGTCCAACCATATAAAGCAGACACCCAGAGGAGTCGGCACGCTCCCTCACGCGCCGCCTGAAGAAGGCGCGTGAGGCCCAGTCTCAGCACGCGCCTCCACGCGCCGTGAAGGCAGACGGCGCGTCGGCCCAGTCGCCTGCACGCGCCCCATGCGCGGATGAAGGAAGAAGACGAGTGGGGGAAGGAGCGTGTATGGCACGCGCGTGTCACGTCATCAGCGACGTGTCATCATCACGGCCACGTGTCACCCACGTGGCAGTCCCGTCAGCAGCCAGGTCAGCGGCACGCGGCAGGCCACGTCATCGCCACGTGGCAGTCTGTCATCGCCACGTCAGCAAGTGGTCGCCATGTGGCAGCACAGTCATCTGCCACGTCAGCATCCAGAGGAGGGATCCAGTGCGACGCGGCAAGGGTGAGCCGCAGGAGGAAGGATCCAGTGCTTCGCGGCTACGGTGCAATCGCAGATCTGAGGCGTACAAAATGTTTTGGCTAGATCGAAGCCATTTGGAGTCCGTTTTTGGTGATCCAATAGTGGTTTCCGACTATTTGGAGTATTCCGGACACATCCGTACGGTCAGATTTTCTAGACGGAGTTTTTGTAAAAAGAAGGCAGATTAGAGTGGCAGACGGCGTTAGGGACAGTGGACGGAATATTCTCTTGGTACACGGAATATTCCCTGAACTTCTGAAAATTGCAATTTGGCCCAAAATTTTCAAAAAATTGTGGTGTGGCCCAGCTTTCAGGGATAGTTTTCAGTGAGGTCCCTGGAAATGCAGCGAAGGTTGGTTCTAGCTAAACAAAATTGTGGTGGGCCCAGTTTTCGGGGAAAGTTTTTTCAGTGAGGTCCCTGGAAATGCAGCGAAGGTTGGTCCTAGCTAAACGGACCGCTCCGGACGCAACCGCGAGGTCAGAATAGTGAAATTCTGAACGGTTTGTAAAGATTGTCAAAACATGGGAGTTTGTCATCTTCAATACTCGAAGGAAGGTTGCCGGATATTGTGGAACGCTGCGGATTCACTGAAGAGGTTAGAATGGACAGATTATGACCAGATTGGACAACCAGATACAGATTGATATAGATCATTGAAGACCAGAGGAGATCAGGCTTGATCAAATGGCAGATCGAGGGAGATCAGGATTGGTCAGGGGCGATCAGAGGATTGCAGACATGATTATCTCAAGATCAAAGGTCTAGGAAAGTTCTGTCAAAAAAAGACATTGTCTAATGTCTAAGGAGACTGGTTCTTAAGTGGGACCGGTTGTGACCCCACCAGTCTTTCCTGGGAACTTTCCTAGTTGTTAAGGTGATCGGAGGATCTGGTTCAATCAAAAGAGAAGACCATTCATCGACGGATAGATGATTTGGCAACCAGTACAGGCTCAGGGAAATACTGTGGCTGTTGGAGCTACTGTATACGAGAAGGTACTAATGGTATGTGGATATGTAGAACAATAGTTGCAGAGGAGCATACTAAGCGCAGAAGTACAATTGCAGACGTGCAACAGTGCAAGGGTACGCTAGAGTGTCGTACAGAGGCGCGAGAAGAGTGTGCAGCAGCGGGTTGTTGACAGTTCACAGGAACTTCCAGACAAAGAAATTGAGATAGGTAAAGAGGGAAGGAGCGAGAGAGGAGGAAAAAAAAACAAAAAGAGGCTTCATTTTTCTTCATGGAAGTGGAAGCTCGAAACTCCCTACACCATTACCCATTAACCCGTTCAACTTTTTAATTATTTAAGAGAGTTTTAAGTGTGATTTAGGGTGAGATTTACACACCCAGAAATATATCTCACACACACAGGGAACACAATATTTACGTGGTTCGGCCCAATGCCTACATCCACGGACAGAAATGAGAAGT